GGAGCGGGTGCGTGGCCTGCCACTGAATCATGCTCTGTCTGCAAATTTCACGCCTGTGTATGTGCTTGAGCAGACGAGCATTATCACGAAAATCCTGGAGACAAGTCTGACACACGTGTCCAACGACGCACAGCTCGGGGGTATCCTGGGACTTGTGATACTTGGTGCGATGGATACGGAGCTGGCGAAGCGAAGGATGCGTATACCCGCACTCATAGCAGAGAAAGGAGGCAGGCGGCGGCGGCGGCGGGGCGGCAGCGATCGTCCCAGCTATGATGAAGTCAAGCTTTTTAGACCACTGATGCCTCTGACCCTCTTGCCTCTGAACGAAGATGGCGCTCCTAATGGCAGCGTTGAGGGCAGTTCTGAAGCCTCTAGGATCACCTATGAGCTTGTGAATCCACCCCTGAAAGACATCGCCCTCGGGTCGTTCCGTGGGACAAGAGCGTTGATCAAGCCACTGAAGGTCCTGACGAACAAGGGCCCCCCAGGAGCCAGTAACGTCCCAGAGAGTGTCCAGGAGCAGCCTGAGAACAGGAGGGGCCCTGTCGGGAAGCGAGACACGAAGCAAGTACCTGAGCCTGGCGACGGACAAAACAACGCTTATGGGAAGCCGTTCAACTCTAGAGATGATGTCTTGGTACGCAACCTGGAAATTATTGTTGTTGCTCTTGGGAAGTCCGAGAGCCGTACGATAAACCATGACATGAGCAGCCTGGACCTTCTGCAAGAGAAGCGCGGAGAGCGGATCCCACGTGCAGGCAGCAAAGAGCAAAACAGAGGAGGAAAGGGCTTCGCTGAGAGTGACGCGGGCCTTCTGACTCAGAGCCTGTCGTTTGGCCACAGTCGCTCGGATCGGTTTTAGAGCTTGCCTGGCACCCGAGATTCGGGCAACGATTTCCGGAGCCATGGAACCACCCTGGTCGACCCGAACCCCCAGGACTTTATGCGTGGCAACCACCTGAACACGCACACGCCACTTGGGGGAGATAATACGGGGAGCCTCTCCACAGAAGGCTTGAAGCCTGGCCGCCTTGGATCCCTTCCCACGAAAGGCGAGCACGATGACAGTCTTGTCAGGATTCAACTTCATCCCAAGACGACTGACCCCCTCATAAAGAATGTCAAGCGTCTGCTGCGTGATTCCTAGGAGATCCTTTGCGCGCGTAGTGGCATTGACAATGTGCATGTCATCGACAAACGAAGTGGTGGGGCGGGCACTTTCGACGTCCTTGGGTCTGGCAAGAAGGGGGGGGGCCGAGGGGAGCTCCCAGATGAGTCCCCTGTCTTGCATGCTGGCGTCAACATAAAGATGCACCTTGGTGAACACAAGATTAAAAACATCGGTGGCAGGGATGGTGCCAGGTCTAGTGCCCGTGCGGGGTCGAACATATCCCTGACTGCCCTCAGTCTTCCAAAAGGCCCCAGACTGACTTTCTTGCAAGAGGGCAAGCAGGTGGGAAGAGGGGAGGGTGTTCTCGAAAACGGGCCTATCCGTTTCAAGCTCAAGACCAACCGCATGAACAAGCACAGGTGGCAAGTCACAAGTGAGAAGGATGCGAGAGATGTCCTCCTGATCCTGCGGCAAAGAGAGTGCAAACTGTCTGATGACGGAATAGAAAGCATTGGAGAGATCAAGAAAGATGGCTGTGCTGCTAGCCTTTTTGTGTTGGGCAATCTTCCAATGCAACCTGACAACGTGCCCAGAGGTGTCGCAAGACCGCCCAGGGAGGCCACCCTGCTGCGACGACAGCAGCACCTGTTGAAGAAAGTCCAGCGCACGACCCCTGACGAAACGATGGAAGAGTTTGCCTATGGTGTTCGCCTTCAAGATGTTGCGCTGATTGCGCGCCAGGAAAACTTCTTTGGCTCCTTTATAGAACCAAACAACCCGCCCGTCTTTGAAGCCAAGGGGCTCCTTTCCTCCCATGGACGTTTTGCAAAGCAGGGGAAGGAAAAGGGCGGTCATCGCCTCAGGCGCAACGTGTTGTAAGGCGTCGCGCAGCCCATCAGGGCCAGCAGCAGTGGTCATAGAGGCCCTTCGCATGAGAAAGCTGGACATCGAGATGGGTGGGAATGCATCCAGACTCGAGAGGGGGGACCTGGCCAGCAACAGCGGCAGGGGGCTGCAGGCAAGAGAGACGGGAGCGATGCACTTCCCATCCCACGCATAGTGCTGCGTCTGCTCAAGAGGATACTCAGCAGGAAAATTGGGACTCCAACACTCGCGTGCAACCCTTTCCTCAGCTCGCGGCCAAGGTAAAGAGCCAGTAGAGCAGGTCCCTCCTTTATCTTCACTGTATCCTGGTTTCTTGAGTGACATCGGCGCGCTGCCCCCTCCCTCCGCGCTGTCGGAGCTGTCGCGGTCGCGGTGCGGGTTCACGATCGGGGGGGGCGGCGGGCGCGGGTGCACGCAAAGAGGTAGCACGGGGAGCAAGAGATGACACAGCAAGAGGGAGCTGCAACGGACCAGGCGGGTTTGGGAATCCTCGTCCTGCACCAGCGTCGCGCCTCCTTTCAGTCTCGGGGAAGGGGGTGCAACAAGCGGGGGGAGCCTGAGAGCACACAGGGGGGGGGGGGGGGGCAAGAGGGGGGGGCGTCCTGTTGAAATAATCAACAACCTCTTGGTCGGTGAGAGCCTGCGCTTTCTCAACACCTCCGAAGAATTCTTGCATGTGCTGCGCCACCAGATCAGAGGAGGCAAGCGGGTCACCCTGGCTATCGAGCATGCACGGGAAGGCTGTGGGCTTTTTGTTACGCCCCCCGAAGCGCAGAAGCTTGTGGTACCTTTGCCAGGCCTGTCTGGCCATGCCCCCGTCAACTGACAGCTGAGCCTCCTGCGCAATTCCTTCGAGAAAAAGAACCCTGTCTTTTTCGAGCTGGTTGGCAAGAGCATGCTTGGATCTGAGAATAAAGGCATGGAGGGCAAGCATGAACTCGTCGTGGTGCGCAGCACCGTTGAGACACCGAAGGGCAACCTGCCTCACAGAAGTGTAAAGGGCGTCCCAAGGAGAGTCCAGCAGTTTTTTTGTGTCCCTGGCCGAGGTCCCCACTGGTCCACCGCCCCGCAAAGTGAGAAAGAATCCTAGGAACCGTGGCCCCAGGAGGCAGAGCCGAGGGACGCGCCACCTTGCGCAAGACACGAAGGGCTCCGCGGCGGGCAAGCACAAGCAGGCGGGAGGAAGCAGTGATGTACGATTGTCTAGGACGACTCCCTGGGCGGGTGAAAACCTCCTTCGCAACTTGATTGACCTGCTTGGCGACCGAGGTCATGTGTTCCGATGGGGAAACTGACCATCCTATGGGGGGGGAATATCCAAGAGACGTTCCTGAAACTGCGCGACTCTGTCGGGGTCTCTGAGAAGGTCATCGCCCAGCCGTGTCGACGAGGTTTGACGAACAACTCGCTCCTGATGAAGGGTGAGATTGGCAAGCACGGGAAGATGGTCGCGCTGCTTAGAGAAGGTGTCAAGCTCCTTCCAAGTATGAACGGCAGAGATGTTGGAAGCCATGCCCTGGGCAACGCATATGTAGCCAATGCGGTGCCGAACGTTCTTGTTGGTGACAAATGTGCAGTCATCACTATCACCTTGCATGGTGTTGACAGCTACCAGAGCCGCTTCGTTGAGGGATTGCCTGAATCTCGTCCCAGGAAGGTCCTCGTCCTGGCAAAATCCCTGATCCCCAACCGTAGCGTCCGTGTGGGTGCCGAGTCGCGCATTTGCGTCGACAAGCATGATTTGGACTCCCCAGGCGGCAAGCTGTTCGTCCAGGAGGGCCCAGAAGGCATCCCGATCCGAAGCTTTGTGGCCAGAATGGTAGGCATGTGCAACGGCAACAGTGAGTTCGAGCCCTGGTGCTTGGATCCGCACGATAAGAAGACGGGGAGCGGCATAAAGCACGGAGAGATGGCGGGGATGAAAGAGCAAAGGGCGGCCATTGCACTGTCCGTAGGGTTCCTCAAGGTTGACCCAAAGCTCGACTCCCGCCGAGTGATTAATGTATCCTGAAGCCAAAACCTGGTAGGCGCCCTTTCTCGTCGAGCCCTGGGGGGTACGCGCCTCCTGGATCCCAACAAGATGGATTTTCTTGTCACGAAACTGTTGCCTGGTCAAGTGGGACCTCATGCCTTGGACGCAGGCAGTGCTCGACTTTTTGTGGGAAACCGCAATTGAGCGCGTGTTATACTGGGCCAATGAGAGAGCTATCACTTGATGCTGCAGACGTGTGGGGGCGGGAGTGACGAGGTCACGGAGGGTGGCATGTGAGCACGGCAGCGAGGCGACGAAAGAGAGATGAATGCACTCACCAACTTGCGTCTGCACAAGAAGGATAAGCTGAGGCAACCTCTGGCGGGGCGTCGAGTAGCCAAGCCCATTCAGTGGCACGGGTGAAGTCAGTTAGATCATACAGGGGGGCGGGTAACATAGAAGGGTCTAAATTACCTTTCATGGTGGCCCGAGCGATGTTGTCCACGATAGGGTTCCAGGGATGTTCCACGTGCCCTTTGACATGACATATCTGGATTTGGCACCGATGTCTACTTCTGGCCAGCAGCGCGTAGGTGAGTCTGGCGATATCTCTGTTAGCCTTGCTGTTGGACCTGCCATTGAGAAATTCAACAGCGTTAAGGCTGCCACAACAGATGGTGACTGGCACGGGCGCTTCCTGAGCGAGGGCAGCAAGCAGGGCCCAGGCTATGGCGAGGAGCTCAACGTCGGTGCTATCCAAGTCATTGGGGGGGGTCCAGAATGCAGGATTGGGTCCACTGGGAACAGACGAACCCCCCATAGGCATAGCCTTCTTTGTCCTGAGAGAGCGCGACCAACCCCCAGCTCGCCGCGGTGCTATCGGATGGGTCGATAGACGCATCAGCATAATAGCGCTGGTGCTCCCAATCACCGAACCTGGGCGGACAAAGACTGAGGGCCACGCTTCCTGGTTCCTCCAAATCGGGGACAGCCTCGCGTCGCCAGACGAGAGAGTACCCGGCGCCCCTGTCAAGCCATGCGGCGGGGAGACGGCCGAGATCGCAATGCAGGGGCGATGGAGACACGGGCGGCGACGATCGACGCGAGCGGGTCTTTTCCGCAAGGCGCTCCGAGATATTGGGGGGAGACGATGGGCCCCAGGAGCCGTCGCCATGGCCTGGAACTGAGGGGAAGACAGAGCCAGGGGTGTGCGACGACTCGTTGTCCCCTCTTGAAGGAGCCAGGACGCGGGCCATAGGTGGGTCATGGGAGACGGGAGGAGGAGCAGGGATGTACTGAGCGCTCGGGCATGCGCTGAAACAGCGCTGCTGGCTGGCTTCACCCTGCGTGACCAAAGAGGTGTCAGGCACAGGCGCGGCGCGCTTGCTGGAGAAATCGCTCGAAGCGGCGAGTCCCACTGAGCTCATCTCGCGCGACCTCAACTGTAAGAGGTCGACGAGGCACAGGGTGACAGGCTGCGCCACCGAGGGGGTAGCAGCCGCGGCAAGGGATTGAAAGTGACTGGTGTCAGGATCCTCGCTGGGGTTCATGTACGATCCCGAGGGCAGCCCCGCGGAAAGAACGCCGAGGTCCCTTGACTCCTGCTCATGGCCAGTGAGGCCAGCAGGAGGCTGGCCCAGGGTGGGGCGCGGATCCTGCGAGGTAGCTGACGTGACAAATTGCGCGTTGTCTCGCGCAGAGAGCCTAGTAGTGCTAACAAAATGTTGCAAAAGGCTGGAGTCTGAGCTTTCGCTGAGATCGGACTGCGGGTCCCTGGGAGAGACCGAACGGCGAGGGCCGCTGGGGCCCTGCGCCTCACTGTCCTGGCCGTCTTGGCCAGGAGGAGGCGGGTCCGAGGGAAGGGAGTTTCCTGTTGAAGGCTCAGACGCGGCGGCAGGCGGCTGATAGTCGTGCGAGTGGAGAGGGGGCTCCCAAAAACGCCACGCTTGTCCAGCCCAGCGTGGATTAGCGAGATGGCCTGGTCGGCCTGCCTGGACACAGATCACGCGCCTCGCACGGAGGTAGGCATCAAGAGCGCCCTGTAGCTCCAAGCCGCGCTGAGTCGGAAAAGCAACCCTCGTGCGCTCAAGACGCTGTAGATAGGCTGAGCGACGAGCTTCTGAGAGTTGCCATGCCACGCTGCAGATTATTTCCGCCTGGCTGCGCAATTCACGCCTGCTCTTGATACCATGTGTAGGGTGCAAGAGCGGATGAAAGCGTGGAAGGGTGCGCAAGCATGCTTCTACCCACGGAACACAATCTTCAAGCCACAAGGCCATTGCCTGGTCATCTGACATAAAAATGGCATTGTAGTACCAGGGCTTGAGCTTGTGCGAAAGCCTCTCAGTTAGGAGCTCAGAGGCCGAGATTGCTTCAAGCAGGCCTGGCGGGGCAGGCTTGGAGGAAGGGGAGGATGAAGTGTCTGCCATCACTGGGGGTTCCAGTGGCTGAACGTGCCAAAGGTAGGATGCCTTTTCCCTAGCATCCGAGCTATCATTGCGGCTATCATTGTGGCGTCTTGACCCCGCGCCGCCAGTGGGAAGATTACTAACAGCATGCAATTGGCATTGTGCGATTGGCTCAAACCCGGAGCTACTCGCAAGCTTAAAAGTCGGCCGCAGTCGTTCTCCCCCACCCGACCTCCACCCGCCGTCCCCGCAAGTGGCTCGATCATTGGCTCGCACAGACTGGCTGATAAAAGCTGGGTCGTGCCCTCTGCCAGCACTCGTAGGCGCAAAATCTGGTAGCGGAGCGGGAGCTATTGGGTGGGTATACTGCTGGGAGGCGCAGGCATCGGTCGACCGTGGGAGGACCGAAAAACCCATGGCAGGGAGAGAGGATGCATTGAGCACGTCTAGACCCGCGTGCTGATGCGGCATGTGTGAGGACGAGAGAGGCACTGAATAGGGCGGCTCAGATAATTGGCTGGCCTCACCTGGGTCTACTCGAAGCTCAGGATCGTAGAACTGCGCGTGGACGTAGCCCCAGGAGATCCCTATGCGCTGTCGGCAAGGCGCTGAGACACATGCGCGGGCTCGCCCGCGGGAGGCGACCGACTCCTCTCTTTGACGGCCTTGCCTTTGTCCTTGAAGCACATCTTGCCATTGTGGTCGATGTAGCTCTGAGGGCCTCGGAGCTGCTCCTGGGTGGGATTGATCTGGGTCGGGGCGAAATGATCGGGCGCAACGCAAGGTGTCTCCTGCGTTGGCGGGAGGCCCCACATCTGGGTCGGCCCAGGCGTTCCAGGAACTGGTTTGTCCTCGGGAGCTATGGCCGCCGTCGGTGGTGTCCCTGGAGCTGCAGTCGCTGGTGTCGCTGTAGCTGCCGATGCAAACGAAGCTGCCGTCCGTGTCCCAGGAGGGGAGGCCGCTGCTGCAGTCATGAACGCCGTAGGAATCGGGATGCCCTGAGCTTTGTACATCTCGTTGATGGCCGCCTGGAGCTGAGCATCTGAGAGGGAAGCCGGCGCCGATGCTGTACTCCCTGCTGCTGGAAACCCCACTGCTGGCGCCGACGCTGGCTCGGCCGCCTGAGGCGCTGGGAAAGGGCCTACTGGTGGTGGCGGAGCTGCAGGCGGGCAGCGGTTCCGATGCTGTGATGCATGAGCCTCATCTGCGCCTCCATCTGCTGATTGTGCTGATAGATGAGGTCGCGCTGCTGAAGGGCTGCATCGCGCTGCTCTTTGCATGCAGCCACCTCGCCGACGCTGGCTCGGCCGCCTGAGGCGTTGGGAAAGGGCCTACTGGTGGTTGCGGAGCTGCAGGCGGGCAGTGGTTCAACATATACTGATGCATGAGCCCCATCTGCGCCTCCATCTGCTGATTGTGCTGATATATGAGGTCGCGCTGCTGAAGGGCTGCATCGCGCTGCTCTTTGAATGAAGCCACCTCTGATGGTGGCCCTGAGCTCGAGGGAGCTGTGCCCTGAGCTGTGCCAAGTTCCACTGCCATGGGATTGGGAATCTCCTGGATGATGTCTGCAATCTCGGCCTTGATCTTGTTGTCGATGTCGATCAAGCTCTGGTTCAGGTCCCCAACTTCTTCCCGAACTTCTTCGGCCTGAGCTTCGAGCATGTTGATCCTTGCATATGTGTTGTGCAATCGATCCTTCGCCTCGTTGAGCCTGGCCAGTGCTTGTTCTCTCTGCTGCTTCAGTGGTAGCAGCTGGTCCTGGCAATAGCGGAGCATGGAGAGCTCCTCCTTGAAATCTTCGTCGCCTTTGCGGGCCCGCAACGCTGCCACCGCTGCCTTTGCCAACGTTGTCATGCGAGATGTGAGCCTGTCTTTGAAGGCCTGCATGTGGCGCATGTCCGTGGGGGCTTGCCACTCGCCCCAGTTGGGGTGGGCCTGAGCGAACTGCTGCGTGGCAGGAACCAGCCTGGTCAGGTAGCGCTCGACAGCCTTGCGGGTCTCGGACGTCTCCTTGTCCTCGCCACGCTGATGCCGTCCACGCTCTTGAGGGCGATGACGTGACTGATCTGGCGGTGGCCTCCTGGAGTCTGGCCTCGCCTTTGCCTCGATCTGGACCCACGGCTGGCGAGAAGAGGTGGCCTTGCTTGACTTGCTGGCTGATCGTGGCCGCCGAGACTGACTTTGTGACTTCTTGCGCCTGTCCGCAAAGGCACCACCGCACGCACAATACCACTGCCAGTGTTGGACACGCTCGTTGCAAGAGCCGCAGGTCCATCCTGGGGTTCCTGTCGCCATCGGTGCGACGAGTGGGGGCTGTTGAGCACTGTGGTGCCCTCGTAGAAGATGCACTGCCCTGTGTACCCGAAGAAG